TGCGGCAGCTTCCTCGCAATGGCGTCGTACAACACGTCGAAAGGCGTGCTGCTCTCGCCGCCCGAAGTGGAGATGGTAGTGGTGGTGGTAGTGACTGTCCTGCTGACCGTCGTCGTTATGCTTGTCGACGTCGCAGCATCCTCCGTCGTCGTGTTCATCCTCGCTTCAATGTCGCACGCCCTCGCGATGAGGACGTGGGTGGTCGATCCCGATGAAGCTAGCAGCCAGAACAACAACGAGAGGACGAAGAAAAAGGTCGCCATCGCCTCCAACTCGGCGCTCTTTGAACTTCGCTGCAATGAATGGAGGGCTAAGTCTTCCTGCACGACGCGATTATGCCGTCCAGGTACACGCTCCGGCGTTCTGGACCTGGTCGTCAGCTAGACTGACGAATTGGTCGAGTACCGCAGAAGAAAAAAAAAAACCTATAGGAGCTCTCGCGGTCAATCTACAGAAGTAAATCTCACTTCCTTCGATGAGAAGTGCTGTGAGCAACGCGAAATATGGATTGAGAGAAGGAAAAAAAAAAAAAAAAAAAGCCTGGATCTCACGAGTCACGACGAGTCTCGAGTTTGATGTGTTCAACAGCAACCCACATCGCCCTCCACGCACGCTGTTATCTTTTTTTTTTTTTTTTTTTTTCAAACACCGTTTGCGTGAGCGCCTGCTAGCGGAGTGGACGCCGTTGTCTTAAGTATCTCGCGATTTGCAAAGAACAACGACAACGACTTGCCCTGGCTATGGCTTTGGGCCGCCTTGCTCGCCGAAAGTCCTCTGCTTCACTCCGTCGCAGATTCGCGCCTGCTAGCTCGCCACGCTTGTTTGTCGAAGGGGAAACAAAAAAAAAGGCACCAGAACACCAGAACACCAGAAAGCTAAGTATACATATCGCCGGCTAGTAGCGGCTACTGTAGCTCGCCTCGACACAGGGGTATCGCTGCCCATACGAATGCGGATTGTTTCGGATAGCACATTTGCGGGAGGCCGCTAAAGATAGCTCGGGGCTACGTCAAGGCTAAAAGTATCGCTGGCATTACACTGTGTTCTTACTCTCTAATCCGCCGCTCAGGGGCCGTGATATATCATCTCGGATGTATACCTTTCTCGGCCTTTTTTTTTTTTTTTTTTTTTTCTAACGTTTCTCGGCCTTTTGGCTAAGATCAAGTGCACTGTATCTGTTCTGATCAGTTTAATATCTGATCCGTGGTGGTCCATCGAACCACAATAAAAGGGGGTATATAATCTGGGATGTACGTAGTACTAAGTACAACACCTACCTTCTTCCCCCGAATACAACGTACGGTCATTATAGCTGTATGTAGACTGGAAGACACGCCAAATTCGGCAGCTATAATGACCGTACTTGCATTCGGGGGAAGAAGGTAGACAAACTTGGGCATGCCGGGCGAGCTGGTTGCAGGAGAAACTGCAGGGGCCATTCTGAAGGTCCTTAGTAGGCATAACAGCAGTTCCCACTTAGGGCGTACTCACACTAGCTGTATCTCTAATGTATCGGATCGCATTTATGGCCGGTCGTGGACGCACCTGACGGAAGTTACGTCCATAAATATGTATAAAAAAAAAAGTCTCCTAGTGTGAGTAAAAATGTCCTTAGAATCCCGAAAAAAAAAAAAGAAAAAAAGAAAAAAAAAAAGAAAGTCCTTAGAAGGACTCGGATCACGTTCGAACTGTTGAAATACAGGCCCCAACTTCGAATCCACATCAATCAGCTGACCAGAGTAAAAAAATCTTTCTTTCCCCCAGAAAAAAAAAATCATAATAATAAAAAAATCATTCTTAATTCCCTGGCGAAGGTCAGTTCAATAATGATATGTCCAGGCCGTCGCCCTTTCGGGAAAAAAAAAAAAAAAAAGGGAAGAAGAAGAAGAAAAAGAAAGTACTCTCTCGCTTTCGAACCGTTTCTCGATATCCCTTCGTTACGCAGAAGATGGTTTTTTTTTTTTTTCTCTATTTTTCATTATGTGGCCCATAGAGATACACAGAAGATTATCAGGGGGGGCCTGGTCCCATTAGCGAAAAAAGGATTGGATTTAACTTCTGAATCTGGATGTGTTTTAAGCGGACATGCGGAAAAGCAGATTAATTGCAAATTTCTGCATCTGTCCTCAAACATGTCCAGATACCGGACCTAAATCCAATCCTCTTCGCTAATGGGACCAGCCTCCGGAGGCTCAGACATTCCGCGGACGCTTTTGTAACGCTGTTACGTTTCGTTTCGTTTTCTTTCTCCTTTTTAAATTCCTATCTCCTTTTTTTTTTTTTTTTTTTAAATGTCCTATGATTATCCTGGCAAAGGTCAATGGGTGTATGTCGACAACAGGCGTGACCCGGTGACCGTACTCTCATGGGTTGACTTCCGACCGTTCTGCCCTGAGTAAAACGTATGGTCATTGTTGCTGTACATTGTCTCAAAGATGGTCCAAATACATCGATGATTACAGTGGGTTCTATTCCACGGTAAACGTTTGACCTCCGGCCATTTTGCCCTGAGTAGAACGTATGGTCATTGTTGCTGTACATTGTCTCAAAGATGG